GTATAAGAGACAGTATATACACCGTAATATATATATATAAACATTTACATTGGGTGTGTATGTATTGTGTAAAAATGAATATTTTGATAATTTTACATTGTGTATTAACAATATTAAGATTGTTGTAATATTTCATTGAAAACCTATAAGAAAGTAAATAAATGTGTTTACAGGTAAACATTGATGTCTTTTTAATTTCAAAGATGGGATGCCAATGGGCTCAAGCACTTGTTACAGTGATGGACTTAGTGCAGCCATGTGGCAAGTGATGCCACATGAATGTGGGCGAGACGCAACTCAGGAGGAGTTGCTGAAACGGTTAAGTGAGGTCAGTACATACTGTAATACATTTGTGCAGAAGTATAAATATATTATACCTTTGTTAGGGTGCGAATTTTAACTTTTAAATAGAAGTATCATCCACGCCGAATGGTCATTTAAAGAGGCTTAAAGCCAAATAACTGCTGGTATTGTGCCAGAGCCACTGCTGTGCGTGTGGGTCGGTGCTAATGGTGAGCCCTTTGTTACCTATAATACTACTAGTACAGATCAGTGTGTGTTACAAGTGCTTTTGCTGATTGGAATGTGTTAGAGAGTGTCCTGTGGTGGGTCCTATCCAATGTAGTTAAGATTTGCAATCCTTTCATCCACTGCTTTTTTATCTGCTCAGTAGTATCTGTCTTTTTATGTTTATAGTATTTTTACATAATTCTATATTTCTATTGAATTTTTGATGTGCTTATTTTTAAATAATTTTTTGATATTGGGTAATTTATTTTCTTTTAGTAATGTAATTTTATTCTTTTAGTAATGTAATTTAATTCACAATGTGTAAATATTTTGTACAATTTTTAAAGTCAATGCTTTTTCTAATAACTTTGCTTTCTTCAAACAAGTGATTTTATGTAAATATATTTTTGATGTGAATAAATAAGCCTATCACTTGTTTATATAGAATTAATTTTATATTAATATATTTTGTTTTGTCAATAATATAATGTATAATATTAATAATAATATCAATGTTATTTGTTCTTTATTATGTTTTAATTTAAATTAAATTTAATTATTTTCAGGACCTTCTAGGTCTATCAAAATGTTTAATTGTTTAGTTAAGTATTTATAAGTCAGTCATATTGTAAAAATTGTATTTTCAGATGGAAATCACACAAGAAAATGCGGGGACTGTGATTGCAGAGGTCAACAATATCACAAGTTCATCAGAAAATGTAACATCAAGTAGCCTAGACACCACGGCCGACATTATAGAAAGCATTATAGCAGTAAATTCAACATCCGCAGAGGTAAGTTAAAAGTTATTATAGGTGACTAGATACAATCGATTGGTTGATTTCAAAACACTTTTACAAAAGCGCCCCTAAATAAAGTATAACTAAAAAAATACATTGATATATCATATATAAGTTCTAATTAACTATGAAACTTGGTAAACTGAGAGAGAGATAAGAGAGATAGTTTCTTTAACATAATCTTATTTTATTAATGTTTTTATATATGAATTATAGTGTATATGCTTTAAATTAATATTAAATGAGAGACATATAGGCATTTAATTACATACTTTTATAAAACGTTTTGGAGAAACTTTTAATTTTTAACAGGTAACTTCAATGTTGGTTGACACTATTGCGAATCTATTTGATGTGGATGATAACGTGCTATTGGCGAGTCAAATGGAGACCCAAGCTCCAAGTAGAATTATTGAATCCCTCGAAGATCAACTAACGCATGTTGACCTTGAAAACAATAAATACCAAGCGATAACCGATAATGTAGCAGTGCAAGCGCAGACAGTTAATACGAATGAGGTTGCAGAAGTAGGCATCGGATTTGCATCTTATCAAGCAACAGATACAAAGAAAATAAATAATGTAACAGATTACAACCAAGGTAGTCAACTAGAAGATACCGTATCTGTCAGTATATTCATACCGTCAGCAGTTGCTTCAATTTTAACAGATCAGTCAGGTAAAGGACATATACAATAAAATTACATAATGCTACAGTTTGCATTCATGTACTACTGTGAAGGTAAAAGATAACATGTGATTGCCTCTTTACTGAGCTGAATTGCTCACAAGGAAAGTGGACGACTTATTCAACAACTTCATTCATCAACTTCATTTGTCCTTAGGGTCACTTCATGTCCGATCAGCCGGTAGTCAGGATTTCGTCTGTCCATATCAACAAGGACCGAATGGACCAGTACATCGGTACCCCCTTCTCAAAGAATGTTCTTACAGTACACGTAAGCCAGTTATGTACACAAGGCATAGGGTTTAAGACCTTATCCGAGAAGATTTGGGTCCAGCAACTGGGATCTTGGGAGAGAAGTAAGATTCAAACCCGTACCTATAAAATAAAGGACATGTAGCGGCACCCTTGTTGTACTGCTTGATTATTCAACTCGATAGAGAATACCCCATGTAGTTTAAATTTATAGACAGTCTACCTGTCAAGTATTAACCAGTCCTAAAACTGCCCTTCTTAATCTGATGAGCACTGGGGTGACGTAATCCCTTTCACGCGCTCATATGTTACTCTGTCACAGACCTTGAATTATCAAGAATTCTAACTTTATTTTTTATATATATTCAAAATAGGTGGGGACAAATTTCGCGTTATTACAGTTGTGTATAATGACAGTACACTGTTTCCAACTAGCCAATTCAATTCATCAATTCGAAGGCCTAATAGCAAAGTTATTTCATTGTCTATACCTGGAATCAAATTGACAGATTTGCAGGAACCAGTTATAACAACATTTATACCAGCAGAGGTAATTGTTTATACAATTTTTTGTTTACAAATTCCAAGTATTTAATAGTGTGTCGATATATTTTGTAGGCCTATCACTCGCATGTCTACATACTTTTTGCATTTTGTATTGTTGCTCATATCATTTAGCATGTAGCTTGGTAATAATACACATGTGATGCTCTATTAGTTTATAAATTATGTTTCATTGTGGTATTGGTTTCAGTCGTAATGAAATAGTCTATGGTATTTGCCATATTAGACCCATTACTCGGCGATTGGAATTAACCAACACACACACTGTTGAAAAAATAGTAAAACGTTCTGCTAATAGTTTTGTTTTTTATCTGTTACTTCGTTGAAAATATATATATATATATGTATGTATGTATACATACATACATAATCCTTCACTTGGATTTATGTGTTCTTTATTCTAGGAGTCCAAAAACAATAATGAAACAAGCTGTGTATTTTGGGATTTCGGTCTTGATGGTGTTGGTGGTTGGTCAAGCCAGGGCTGCTATTTGGCAAATGGATCTTTAGACGGAAGTGACCGTCAAGTTTGCCACTGTGATCATCTTACTAATTTTGCCATTCTTATGGTAATTTAATGTTATTTATATAAAAACCTTCCAACAGTAAAGTACATAACTCACCACTTACAGGATGGAATGGTACTTTATAAAAGTCTTTATGAGGCTTACGGAGTGGAGTCATGAGAAGAACCCTGCAGTAGGCCTAACATGATTTGAACACAGGACCTAGTGGGATTGGAAATCAAGCATCTTTAGGCCTACATGCAAGCTATTCAGTCCACCCCATTGCTTCATGTTTCTATTGCTTTAACCAAGACAAACTGTGTTTTGTCATTAATTATTTTTACTTATTAGTTAATTTTGATGATTATTTCCTAAAACATTTGTTTCCTTTAGAATTTCTATTCAGATGGTCCTAGAGTAGACAATGAGGTAGCTGAATACATCACAAATATTGGTCTTGGTATTTCAATCGCGTCTTTGGTTATAACCATATTTACTTTTTTGAACAACAGGTAAGTTGTAAATGCGACTACATTACCAAATAAAACTAATATTCATAAGAGTAAACATACTATCTTACATCCCTGGATATAATGTAGGCCTAAGTGTGTGGTTAGAAAATAGACCTACTCCGCAAATTTATTTTTCATTGGAAACAGAATCGGGGCACGACGATTTTTTGTTAAATTCATTTAATTGTAATTTGGCTATACCAAATACAAATGACTAATTTATATTTCTATATTTCACCAATGCATAAATGCTTTTTGATTTTCAATCCTGAGTTTAAAAAGTGTCGAATAATGTTGAATAAGCATTCAAAACCATAATTTTTGTCTTACATTACGTTAAAATAGAATGGAAAAATCATATTTTGACGTAGTAGCTTTATTTTATAGGAGTGATATTTTGCCCTACCTGACGGGTTATCGTACCGAATACTCGGTACGTTCCGAAATATTAGCGAAAAAAATTTGTGCGTGATTGTGGGAATCGAACCCACGACCTCCAGATACCGTAACTAGCCTGATGCCATAACCACTAGAATACCGAGCTTGCGCTTAGTTACTAGTGTTGAATCTGATCCCCAAGTAGTAGCGGGTACTGCTAATGCTTTGATGTGAGCTTTATTTTACTTCATTGGGTTTTTTTTTTTTTTTAAATGGTGTTTTTTCCTTCCATTAGAAAACTACGGAAAAGTAAACCTCAACAGATTCTCTGTCACCTGTGCACAGCCTTACTTTGCTTGTACATAACATTCCTTGTTGGAATTGACCGCAATGAAAAGAGGGGCGCATGTGTTGCGATTGCCGCTATCATCCATTATTTTTTGCTTGCATCTATATTCTGGATGTCAGTGCAAGCTGTTAATATGTACTACTCATTCGTTAAAGTTTATGATGCTCATGTGTCCAAGTTTTTCTTAAAAGCCGGCCTGTTTGGATGGGGTGAGTTCATTTCATTAATCATTCTGTTAGGTTTGTAGGATTTGTATAATAACATTTTATTCTTTTATACGGTGTTTAATATTTGAAAAAGGCAAACTGATACACCGTTAATGTTGTTTCAACATGCTGTAACCTTGGTATAAGCCGAGTTTGTTAACTACAATAGTCGGGCCAATGTTTACACGCGTTTGATTGGTTTTTTATCTTGCAGGTATTCCAGGTGTGATCGTTGCTGTAACTGTGGGTATAGATGCTGATAATTATGCAAACACCAACTAGTAAGTTCTTAATAAATTGTACGGGCACAGAATAAATAATCTGCTTTTTTTTCCTTTATCATATTTTATTCCCAACCAACAACAGCAAGCTGTGGTTCACTATTACAAGGTGGATATACAGTGAGAAGTCTTGAATGATGTGGAGTTGTTTTTAGTCATTAAACAAACCCTGGTGTTTGTAGTTTTGGAACACAAGACTCCTAACCGCCATGCAGCTCCACTCCAATTATTAAGTGTCTCATTCTTTTTGTATTTATCAGTCTTTTATTGATTTTTTCAGTTGCTTCTTGGTGGTAACCCGGATGTATTACAGTGTGGCGATACCTGTAGGACTTATGTTACTATTCAACATAACTGTATTCATTATGGTATTAAATAGTCTTAGTAAGCTTGGTAAAATTTCCAATCAAGCTCACAAAACTAATAAGAAACACAAAGGGATGCAGTTGCTACAGAATGGAGTGTGTATTTCAGTAGTAATGGGAATGACTTGGCTTATAGGCTTCTTTGCGATTGGCAGTGCCACTGTCGTTATTCAAATTCTGTTCTGCATCCTCAATTCCCTCCAAGGTTTCTTCATATTCGTCATGTATTGTTTAAGAAGTCAAGATGTTCGCAAGCATTGGAGACGACAGTTCAGGCATATTACTGGCACAACGAGTAGAAGTTTCAAGTCTATATCCTCCACGTTACGTGGTACCAAAAGGAGTATTCTGTATTCCAGTGAACGTAAATCAAGTTCATCCGGATTTACACTTTCAAAAAATCACAGTTCATCGCAAATTACCTCTCAAAGAATGTCTGAGTCAGAAATGTCACATTCGCATAAAAATGGCAAAGTTTCAAACAGCAGCTCAAACAATAACCAAGTATCATTTGCAAAATCCTCTAGTGTTTCCAATGGATTCACCTTTCGAAAATAGTATCATAATTTATTTGTTACCATGATAAGGTTACTTTCTTCATTTTGACGTCATAATATGTAACTTAAAATTACGTCAGTTTGGGTGCAATTATTCTAAGTATTGATCAAAAGGGGAAAAAAAACTTAAAATTACGTCAGTTTGGGTGCAATTACCCTAAGTATTGATCAAAATGAAAAAAAAAAAAAAAAATCTATAAAGTTAAAACTCCCGATGTGTTTTTTTTTTTTCACTTCGACTTTCATGAACTTCTTAAAATCATAGACTCACTACTGTATAATGGTATATGTAATCCGTCTGGTCCCTTTAATCTCTCTCTTTTCTGTTTCTCAAGATAATCATGAAAAAATATATTTTGTATTTATAGGTATTCTTTAATCACTAGTGTATAATAAAAGTCATGATAATACTATATTATTAAGTACTGTAATACTAATACTAATTATTATAATAATACACTATATAGTATAATATTTAACTTCACTTTTAAATTGAAATGACAGGTGGTTCTAGAATGTTGCAATATATTAAAAAAGAATTAAATAGGCTGTTTATTTATAGAAATACAAAATTAAAATAAGAGTATGATAATATATTGAATATATTTATTATACGGGACATTATTACTATAATAATATAATAATATTACAATATGATGACAATACAATAGTATTATAATAACAGTATTTCTTATACATTACTAATAATTGTATAAGACAACAACAATGAGATTTTGTGTTGCATTTGACATCAGTTTTAATATGAAATGACAGGTTGTTTCACAATGTTGCAATATGTATTATAGATAAAAATATTAATAGACCTCCTGAGTTAATTTTGTTGTATATTTTATTCAGAATATTACAAAGGTAAACTGAGAGTACATCAATATATTAAAGATCTTCAACGAATCAACAAGAAATGTAGGGCCTAATTTAATCATTAACAGTATCAATTAAGTAATTACTGATGATGATGGGTATTAATGTTTTTCTAATGTTGGGTAGGAGGTTAATGATCAGGTCAAGATTGTAGAACTGAACAGCAATATTACAAAACGTTGTTTTGTAATAAACGTTGTCTTTTGCATGTTTGCATGCATAATGACACATAACCGAGACAGTTGCCGAAGACTAATACAACATAAGATTGTAAATTTGGAATTCATCAATAAATGTACAGTACCTAAACGTTGTTGTTACAATACCATTAGATTTCACAATCAAACTACTGCATGTGCGTATTAGGTTAATAAATCGAATAAACTTGTGCCTGTATTATGCAAAACGATAAACTCTAAATCGTCACGCACTATAATGCCTGTCATAAAAATGAAGAGGATGTGCAAGACTGAAATAAAAATTTTAATTTAATGCATCAAACGAGGTTGAACATCAGGTCTTCTGCTGCGTAAAAATGCCTTAACCAGCTGGGCACAGGGACTTGAATTCTAGTCTGATTTAAGAAGATTTCGCATTCTCGTTTGTACGTATACGAGAATAGTAATTTTCGACACATGTGGAATAAAAGCAAATTATTCGAATGCATAAGTGGGCCTCTGCCCGTGGACCTGACTGGGGCATCTATGTGATCTCTATCCATGGTCAAACAAGCTATCCCCCTTCTACACAAAAAAATATGGAATCTCCTCCATTGTGTGTTTATTGTCTGCTTACCATACTTAGATGATATCAATCTAGAATACCGGTACCAATTACACTGTTAATTTGTTCCATCCATATCAAATTCATATCATGTTAGATCACAAAATAATTGTCAAAAAGTCGCCACCATGCCAACGGACTTGAACAAGGAGATTTGCTTTGACTTACAAGGTTAAAATGGGTTGTCCGCTATGTATGGATTTAAAGCTAGCCAGCGCCGGTATTAGAATCATAATCATCTTCTTATCAAAGTTCACATGGTTCCCTCTATCTATGCACTCTCTGCCACAGCGGCCCCTAGAGGCCCTACCGCATAAGGCCCAAATTCCGGTCTCCAAAGAAACGACTTAAGCAAACTAATATTAAATGACCGTGATTCACAAATGAACCAAATTTCCCTGGTAAAATTGGAAAACCTAGCGATGTAAAACTACGGTAGGGCCTATATCAATCCGTAACATCATTTGATGGTAAAACTATGTTTTCATAAATTAATGTAAACTACGGTTTGTGTCTCTATGATTAACTGTTATGGTCGATTTAATTGTCAAAAAATGATATTTAGGGTGATATATTGAAACATCCATCTGAAGTGACGACGGACAATCAGAGTTGTTGAACCCGGTTCATCTCACCGAATCTTCCACCACGAATTAAACGAGAAAAAACTGCATTATGTTGTAGAAGTGGTGTACGGTCAAGAACTGGTGCCTTCCTGCTTGGGACTGACTTATATCTACATTGTTGCTCATACAACTTTAAAATAATCAAACATTTTATAATAGGTTTAAAAAAATATTTAAAAAAACATATATGGAATATCAGAGAGAATAACCGTAATAATAACCGTCATTTTAATATACAAATTAAACGACAATCATAAAAATTGAACCAGTTAATTAATTCAAATTTCAAACTCAAATGATTTAAAACCACATTTAAAATATAAGAAAAAACAAATCAATAAATGCATTAAACAATAAAAGAGCAGTGTTATACTAGTAAAATAATTCACATAAATTCGTAATTAAAAGCTCATGAAGATGGCATGGCTCTGTAAAATTAATTTTACATTATCGCAAATACTGTACCATGTTCATTGTTTTCAAAGACAGATTTTAACTGGCAGTTAAAACCACGACGGTGCTTATCATTAATAAAATATTTGAATAAAGAGAAATCATTATGTTTCTCATGGCATTTTTAACGTGGTCAATCAATCAATCAATCCAAAGTCTATAAGAAAAAAAAGAAAGCATATTTTATTTAATTGGCAAGAAATTATTTTTCTAACTTAACGGTTTAAAAATAATAATAGTAATTGTACTGTATTGGAATTCATATATGAAAAAGAGTTTTTCACCAGGGATGCAAGCCGCACAATGGAGATAAATTAGACGTGGGTGGTGGTTGGGAAGGGGGATGTGATTTAAGAAGAGTGGAAATTCCTGATGTGAGGGGGAACATCACTTCAGTAAGACTGGATTGCAGTCTGGAAAAAAGGCCTAGATGTTTTTTTTTTCATAACACGTAGTACAGTAATATCTTGAACTTGCATATTTTAAAAGAATTTCTATGAGCAGTATAAGAATTGCTTAATTACAAGCACAGTAAAACCAAGGACTTTTAACTGTTACCAATTCAAAGTCCTTGGTAAAACTGCGCATGAAAATTGTACTTGATTTCGAAACTGCGTAAAATAAATAGCACAAATTGTGCATATCATATCCAAATTTTAATTTTCGCTAGAAGTTTATAACTTAAGCTTAAAGCTTTTTTTTCCCACTAGTGGAAAACAGGCTTAAAGCGTTAACAGTTAAGTTGTAAGCGTAATTCAGTAGCGTGCATTACAACTGTAATTCTACTACTGTACAGAGCCGTAGATAGAGAGAGTTTGGCCAACTCTGTTTCATGGGATTCGATATACGCGCGTGTGATTGGGTGGATTGCAATCACATGACTTACACCGGCCATGTTGTCACCAAAACAATTAAAGCTATACGCGCGCATGCGCCTGGGCTGTTTGGTAACGACATGGCGTCCATGCGCAAGTTGGCCAAACTCTCTCTATCTATCCATCCATCTAACCATGGAGGTATTAGTATCTAACTATAGCTCTGATACTGTAGCTGACAGTAGGCACGCCCCCAGCCTACCGTCAACACTGTCAAATAAAAGTTCATAATAATTTCCTGGACATTGGTGGCGCTATATCACATTTCAAGGTTATATTTTTATTTAATTATTTACACAGAGTGGGAGGGATAATGTCTTTGTATTTTTTAGTACGTACTGTCGTCCGAACGAATACAAAAGGGCCTGTATTGTGATCGGCGCACTTGAAGGTTGGTATAAATTAGGCCTAGCCTAGGTATAATAATTATCTTTGTGTTACAGTACTGTAAGGTAGGCGGATACAATACATACATTACTCTAGGTTGGGCCTACTACTACTACTACTATGCCTAGGTTAGGTCTTGTCAGGAGTGAGTGTCAAAAGTACGGGTATAATAATATTATTAATAATAAATAGGCTTGGCCTAGGCCCAGCCAGTAAGTAGGAATACCGTAAGTAAGTAGGCCAACCTAGCTAGGCTTAGAGGGGTCTAGGCTAGCCTAGACCTAGGCCCCTTGGTGTACAGCCTGCTTTTGTATTAGCTGATTAGTCGAATTCGATCCAACTCGGCCACAAGTCAACTCGGCCACAGTCAACTCGGCCACAAGTTAACTCGGCCACAAGTCAACTCGGCCACAAGTTAACTCGGCCACAAGTCAACTCGGCCACAAAAAGTTTGGCTACAGTCAACTCCGCCACAAGTCATCTCGGCCACAAGTCAACTCGGCCACAAGTCATTTACTGGTACTACATTGTACTAATTGTTATTATTATTGCTGTTATTATTGTTGTCATTGTTGTTATTATTATTGTTGTTTTTATTACCGTTAGTTTTAATATTAATTATCAGTCTTAGCATTAACATTATATATTGTTCAAATTTTTGCTGATATTATTATTATTACAGTACCATATAAATAATAAATAATTTTCGATTTTTTATTATTATTATTCATATTATTATTATTTATTAGTCTTAGTATTATAATTTTAATAATAGTAATTTAAAAAGTTGTTGTTATGGGCGTTTTATTAGTATTTTTCTCATATTATTATTATTATTATTAATATTGTGTTGTTGTTGTCACCTTTATTATCGATATTATTATCCTATTATTACTAAGTAGGCCTAGTATTATAAGTATCATTATTTTTATTATTACTAATTAGTATTACTATTATTATAAAAATAAACATTATCTTTAATTTATTATTGTTGTATTATTGCTATTATCACCTTCAATATCGTTATTATCACTAATTAGTTATTAAAATTGATATTTAAATATCGTTATTATTACCATACTAGTATTATTACTATTTGTTAAAATAAATATTACTATTAATGTTGTTGATGTTATTATCACATTTATTATCGTCATAATGACTAATTAGTATTATTAATGTAAATATTACTCATTTATTGTCGTTATTGTTGTTTAATATTATTGTTGAAGTAGAATGTTGTGAGTAAACAGAAGACGAACACATAAATAAATTTTAATTCATAGGCAATAGCATTCAAATCTCTTTTGGTAGTGTGGTGGTCTGTTTTACTAAAACATACTGTGTACTTTATTTCAATCATATATTGAAGAAAAAGGATGCAAAAACTACGATTTACATTAAATAACTTGTGGCCGAGTTGACTTGTGGCCGAGTTGGCTGTAGCCGAGTTGGCTGTGGCCGAGTTGATTTGTGGCCGAGTTGATTTGTGGCCGAGTTGACTTGTGGCCAAGTTGACTTGTGGCCGAGTTGACTGTGGTCGAGTTGACTTGTGGCCGAGTTGACCTGCACCCGATTAGTCAACTAACTGGTGGGGCGTGCCAGTGGTGTGACACTCTGTGTGTGCGTAGCTGTTTAGATCCCTGGTTCAATTCCGATCGCTGCTCCCCTTGTGTTTAAACTGGACGCCTGAAATGCTATACTAGGTTCAGAAATTAAAAATTGTTTTAGGCCGGGAGTAACTTTCACAGACCACTTCAACCCCACTATGGTTGGGGCTGAGGTAAGAAATTTTATGAATTAATGTCACTTCTAGATGGCCGGAAATTGCACTCTTATACTTTTCTTTTTTTCACCATTTTAAAAAATAATTTTTAAAAAATATCTGCCCCCGCCTCCTTTGAATCCTTTGAATACAATAAATGTGAATACCACGGGGAAGGACATGTCGATGTCAACATTCTCAAAAATATAACTTTGGCAGGATGTCCATGGTGCTTATAGCAATATCCACATTGAATATAACAATCGGAGGGTAGGAAAGTGTGTAGCAATATCCACCTTCTAAAACAAAGTTTATTGAGACGGTATGTCCATGGTGCTTAATGATGTAATGGTGAGATGTGTTATTAAAATATACTATAGTAAGTATAGGTCTCAATCTAATTAAAGACCCCTCCAATATATTGATACCATGGGGAAGGACATCTCAATGCATAGCAAATTCTAAAACCTATAACTTTGGCAGGATATCCATTGGGCTTAGTAATATCCACATTAAATATCAGAAGGCAGGATGTCCAAGTGGGTAGTAATATCCACCTTCTTAAAGTTCTTGAGGCAGTATATCCATGGTGCTTAATAGTGATCATGTGATAGTGAGACGTGTTATTGAAATACATGCTATAAGTAAGTACAGTAGTTAGTATGTATTGTGTACATACAGTAGTCAGTGCAAATGATCAAAACACTTTTTTTATGCTTAAACAAGACTTTTTTTATACTGTAACTTGTTTAGATGCCAAAAATGGTGATTTCGAATAAAAATGCTTTTGGCAAAATAATTTTGCTAAACAAGAAAACCTCGTCTGATGATCTTAAAAAAATTAGTTCACTAAAACAAGGTATTAGAAAGTCTTGCTTTAAGTGATAATTTAAATTGTATGTATGTGGAGATTAACGATGGTAATGAAAACAAATTATTAATATTTTCAGGTTGTCTATCATGGATAATCACCAGGTAGATGATTCAACTGTGGTTCCATATTATGATATTCATATTAACAACGTACAAGAATCAAAACCTCTTCCACCGTGGATTCGCAAGATAATTTTTAT